GAGGAGGAGGAGGAGGAGAGATATCCAAAAAGACAGATTGCAAGACATGAGCGAGACAAACAAAAGAGATTACGTGCGAGAGAAACCAAGATAAGACATGGAGGGGGGGACGCGAGGAGGTTAGATAGGGAGAAGGGAAAGATGGAGAGACGGGTGGAGGCGTGCGGAGGAGGGAGGAGGAGGGCAGACTGTTTCTCCTGTGTGAGCCGGGCTAATGAAAGATGAATGAGGGAGGCAGTGGTGGGAAGGAGAGTGTGGCTGCGGGCGATGCCTGGCTGAGCTGCTGCTGCGTGTGTGTATGTGTTTGTCGGGGTTTGTGTGTGCGGTGTAGTCGAACGAGACTCGCACTTGGCTGACTGGTGTTGGACAACAGGGACGATATTGTGTCTACTGTATGACTCAGGAGCAAACGGTCAACAACAATAAACACACACTCATGCCCATGCGTAGAAGCGGATGTATGTAGCTTTAAGTCTAAAAGTCTGCTACCACCTGTAAGCATGCAGTCAATCGTTAGCACTCGCGCAGCGTCTCCGAGCCTCCCTCTCTTATTCAGACCTTCCATCTATCATGCTGTCAGTCACTCTTTGAACCCGTCTCCCTCTCCCTCACCCTTCAGATTCTGTGCAAAATCCTTCATGCGCTGCCTCTCCCTCTCTCTTCCAATATCCCACCCTGCCAGTCTATACCACTTCCCAGCCATCAATTCCCCACCTCCTTCCATCTGAGTTCACCTTTTTGTCTGCCTCTAATTGTCGTGCCGAACATCCTCGGAGCGGTTACTGTAACAGCTTGGACGAGAACTCTTTCCCCCAAGAGTGGAGGGCGACCAGACAGAGAAGTTTTCCTGACCCCGATCGCACTTCCTCCTCTCTGCGACTGACTGCCTGACTTCTTTTTTTTCTCCCACCCCTCCAGACGAATCACATGCTTCACAGTGCCAAAACAAGGCCCTAGTGCTGCCCACGGTGCTGCTGCTGACAGAAAATGTGAACTTTTCTCTGACTAAAAGGAGTAATTCTGCCAAAATGAGCGTAATGCTTTGACTCCGTGTAAGGTCAGAATTGTGAGTGTGAACTTTTTTCATGTTTTGCTGCATTCAGATATGGCAAGAAATGGGCAACTTATCGAAGCCAAGGAGTTGTGTTGTGATATCAATTAATTTATGAGAATAAATTCACTGGTGTACTATGGGGGGGTTTATATAGCTGAATTTTAAAAAAGTATGACCTTAGACGTAGTTTTTAGAAAACTTTTAGGCTTATTAAGACAATGTGAATGCACCCAAAATTAAATTCACGTCCAATTAGAGAAACTGAATTTTGATGAAAATGACAAAAGACAAACATTTCTCAAATGGACACCAGGAAGCAATAACTACTAATTGCCACAGTTAATTAAAGTCCAATTATGCTTCATGAAGCTTTAATAGCCTTTTATTGAATCTGAACCAAGTGGGATCCACTTACTGAATCCAAATCCTTTCAAGTATGGTCTGATCTTTGCTAATTAAAGCAACACAGTTATAAATAACTATTTTTTAATACCTGATATTGAATAAGGAAAAAATCCTGACCTGGGGTTCAAAATGTTCTATTGGCTGTCCACTTGTCTATTGTGAATGTGTGGCGGCCTGTAGGGCAGCAAATACAGAGGATAGACCCCTCATTGTTCAGTGACAACATGTGATCAGCCACTGCAATGTGCATAAGCGCTAGGGCATGTGAAGTATCTGCAGGAATATGGTGTACTCTGTATGGATATGGACGATATGTGAACGGTCTACTTTGATCAGAGGGTCAACATGGGGATAACTGTCACAGCTAAGGGCATGACTCAATTTATATACACACACCCACAGATGCACAGCGCACGCACACACACACAGGCCTTTTTTTGTCAACCCCCTGGGTGAACATTTCACCAAATATTTCTGGAATCAGGCTAAATCACGTAAACATGTGAGCGCATGCACACCTGCACGAGTGTACACACACACACACATTCACTAACAGACAAAGAGGCACACACAGACCCTGGGGACCGAAGCGGCTAACGTTCACCAACAGAATAAAACCCAAACAAAGAGACATCCTGTTTCCTGGAACACAACACCACTCAACCCTCTGTGCTGGGAGCAGCCAGTAAACACACACAAAATCTGTTCATTGTACATCGCCGCGCATGTGTTTCCGTGCGGCCTGATTCATGTAGCAGTGTGCGTCTGTGTGTCCAGCGATGCCACTGGCTGTGCCTTCGAGTGTTGGTGCACGTGAGTTTATCCTTGTGAGTGGCTGTGGCTAGAAGTGTGTGTGCATGTGTGTGTG